GAAAACAGTACTTTATGGTATGCAAATTCTTCCATATGGTCTCAATAGCTAGTAGTCTTCCCTTTTTATTTTCATTTATCATGTCGATACAATTACCATGATCTATAGTCACCTTAAATATTTCAACCACTTGTTCCACCACATCTGATGTTAGGGAACGTCTGTGCATTCAATGATGCATTCACCACCTTCATGAGATAATACTACAAATCGCCATCAATTCCTCATTTTCTCGGTCGCATTCTTATAACAAAACTTAGGATTATTTATATATAAAACCTTTTCAAACACCACTCTACCAGTCCTCAGATTCTTCAAGTTCTTTGAACCCATTGACAACGCCGACCTCGACACCCTTAATGAATACTTGAACGATAGCATAAAGCTTAGGGGCTGTTTGTTTTGCACTTACTGGGTCTGGTCAGAGCTGACTGCTGATTCGGTTAGCAGGCAGGCCGTTTGATAAACATAAACTTTGGCTTACTCGGTCAGCTATCGCTGACCAAGACCCTTACTCGGTCCGCCAATTTTTAGCAGCTGACCCAAAAGAAAAAACCAGTTGTCTATCTTGCCCTTGGCCCTAAACGAAAAAACATGCATAATACACAAATTGTGCTTCTCGTTCCATGCATCGGCGCTTCCTTCTTCAGCGATTCCTTCCACAGAGCACATCACCGGCGACGCCTCATCAGCCTCTACCGGCGGCAACCTCCACAGCAGCGCAGGTAAGCCGATTTCTTCTTCTTCTTCTTCTTCTTCTTCTTTTTCTTCTTAAATCAGTAGACAAATATTTTGTTTCCATGTTTCCATGACCTGATATGCCAATGCTCTTTAGTTTTATGAATTTTGTCTATGTTTTCGGAGGTATAACTTTCTTAATTTTTCTACTTTTCGTTGCATTTTTCTGTATAAATGTGTCGATTTCTTAGTTCATGTCTTGGGCATAGGACATTTTAGACGATTGACATACCACTTCAGTGGAATCCAATATTTTGAGCTCAAAAGGATTAATTAATTTTCCTTTGTTTTGTTTTCAAACGACTGCACATAAAGTGTTTGATGGAATGCTTAAATGAAATTTTTGATTAAAATGAATCTATATTACCCATGCTCATACCTTTAGTATAATATCCCCAAGTACTTTTACAGTTGACAATTGTTCTGTCTTTATGGTGATCTTGCAGCCATGGTCCTTGTTGCTGTTTTTCTTCATATTTCTGATTTTTTTTGTTATATTCTTGTAAATGACTAGTCAATCATTTTGTGTGCTTTTGATGGTTGTGATGATATTAGAAGAGATGAAGGGCAAGGGCCTAAATGATATCAGATGTCAAACCTTACGACTCTGAAAGAAAAGGGCAAGTCATCATATTTGTGTGCTTTTGATGTCTATACTGAAACCCAAGCAAAACAAAAGCAAAGATGATCCAGACAAGCATGTTGATAATGGTAGAACCTTTAACAACGTGCTCTACTATTTTTCTGCAAAATGTGATCTTTTTATTACAGTTTAGGTTATGTATTTTGTGATAAAGAATGGTTGTGGGAGAAGAGTACTAGTATTTTGTTTGATATGGCATTTAATTTTAAAAGGGAATATTGGTTGATGTTTTATTATTGATTTTGTGTACATTAACTACAAACAGTGTTGTAAGTTGTTTTTTTTTTTTTTTAAAGTTTGTTGGGTTTGAGATTAATATTTAATAGTATGTGCTTTTGTTTTTCTTTTAGTTTTCATCTTTTAAAAAATATTAACAATAATATCCTACTTTTTATAAAAAAATAAATTGAAGGGTAAAATTGTCATTTTCATCCTTCAGCACAATCAGTCAGAGAAATAATCAAACAACATAAACTCAGTCAGATGTGGACTCAGTCAGAAATTCTAACTCAGTCAGCTTCTAACCCAATCAGCTCTAACTCAATCAGCAGCTATCAAACGACCCCTTAGTGAGTTTCCCAGTATACCACATATTCCACCATACATACAATGCATCCACATAAAATCCTCAACTCTACACCGAGCAACCCAATATCCTATCCACATTCATACATCATACATATCGGGCCCGACCCTAACTCACATTACAACCCCCACCCAAAAATACATAACGGGCTCCGTCCAACTCAACTGCCAGGGGCCAAATCCTGGTCTTTCATATAGTTGTCATGGTTCCCGCCATGGTATTTCTCTACAATGCGAATAGCCAAATCTTGGTCTTACATACAAGGGTTGGGGACCAAATCTTGGTCTTACACACAATGCACAAACCATACATAGTTAGGAATTAGATAGACAATCGAACAGATGATCCACCCGAAAGCAATAAATCAAACACGAACCATGTAGTCAGGTACTAGACCAAGAGTTCTCAGGCTATCCAACTTGACAGCATACAACCCTTAGGGTAATCATTTAACAAACAGACAATACTATCATTACCCTAACCAGTTACAACAACTAGCAATATCGTATAATCCTCAGGCAAGACTCTATCAGTCTAGCGTACCATGACACCAAGTGTCCTAAACAACACATGCATAAAAAGGAGTTATCCTAGTCAACTAGCATACCGTACCCTAGCAATACCACTATCCTAATATACAAATGATGTACAATGTAACATGTGGTATAGTGAGACGACTCACTTGAACCGAAGAACCAGAGAAGCACAACAACACTCTCGCTCCTTGCACTGATCAGAACCGCGGACCGGCTAACACCAACACATAACAAATCCTCAAACAACAACCCAAATCCTTCAAGTTTGACCCAAGTTCAAACTGGTCAAAAGGTAACGGTCAACAAAAGTCTACGGTCAACCATCACTACGACGTGGTGACCTCTTTGCCACATCGTGGGCATGCCCATACAAAATAGTCACGAGGCTGAACCCCACCAGACATGGTGACCTTTTGGCCATGTCGTGGTTACTCCTAGAAGCCATTTTTTTCATTAAGAGCTTAATCCTCACAGATCAAGGCTCATACTTTCAAATCTAATTCTTCTTAATGACTTAATGGATAATGTTTCCAACTTTATCCGTTAGGGTCTTACCACAAGATAAGATCTTAAACCCTAAGTCCATAAAGTCCTTAATCTGGCCAAAACTTGTGCATAGAACAAAGAGGATCATGACTTAACACTTTTTTCCATCAAATAAGGCCAGGAGATGGTCACCAAACAAACCTAAGGTTCTGGAGTTGCCTATAACTCCAAGAACATTCTTTCAAAGGACTTCACAACATGAAATAAGAGAACAGAAGGATAAATGTGGAAGCCTTATACCTTCCTAAGCTCCAGAAGATGCAGGAGATGCAAGATCTGAAGTAGATACACTCTTACAACTAGCAAGCACACCTTCTTCTACTTCCCAAAAATGCAAACCACGACTTCAAACCTTAGGAACACCAAGAATCACTCAAAGGGGCTAGGATTTTTTTGGAAGGTTAGAGCCTAAAAAGGATACCCTAATCTTGGAGTTAGTGACCTTAAATATGTGAGAAACCCTCAAAATCATGGACTTGGGTTGTAGCAACCACCACGTCGTGACATCCTACTTGCCACGTCGTGGTGTCCACCAGAACACGCGATCCATTCGTGTTATGCCACGTTGTGGTCTTCCATGCACCACGTCTTGGCATAAGGGTTTCTCCAAAAACCTTATCTATGACCCCCACAAGTCTTCGACTCATCCTTTCGGGAAAACGAGTTTTACACAAAACAAGATATCTATTAATAGTTTTTATCAAGTGCAATTATATATTATAATTTTTGTAAAAAAAAATCTTTATATATTCTATACAAATTCATTGAAAATATAAGTTTGAACGGGTAAGAGTTTAATAACTGAAATTTTTGATTAAATGGATATACTATTATTTTTTTGTTAAAAGTAATAGTAAGTTATAAAAAAAGTATTTTGGTATTATTACATAATTATTTTCCAACTTATTTGACAAATCTACAAAAAATTGATTTTATTTCATGTCAACCAAACAAATAACGAATTCTAATTTATTATGATTCTAAATATTTTTTAAAAAATTAACTTCTTCTAAAAACATTATGCAAACCACACACCTTTAAAGGTTTCGTTTCTTTTTTTTTCTTCGGAATCTATATGATTAAATAAAAATATAAAATAAAATTAAAAATATATTTAAAAAGTTGGCAGGGTAGGATCATATTCATATATATGAAAATTTTAACTTTAAACAATTATATTCAATTAAATGAGTTAATCCGTTTGATAAGCCAGTCAAAATTGAGACTTTAAGCTTTTAAGCTAGTTATGAATTTGTTAAATATAATGAAATTTGCGATTTATGTTAATATTGTTTCATGCATTATTAAAATATATACATACTAAAAAGTTATTAAAAATATATTAAAATTTATGATTTTTAATTTCCTATAAAATGAGTATCATATTTGTATAAAATATTTTAAAATAAAAAAAATAAAAATTAAAGGTGGTGAAAGGTGACCATTTTTTGTTTTTTGGTGAGTCAAATGTGAATGAATGAAAAGCTGACGTGACACTCAAAAAGTGAAAGATAAAAGATGGATATACATCTAATCAGCCAAACAAAGCTTAATTATGAAGGTAATGCGGTAGTGGTATATATTCCGTAAGTCATGATTCAAGAGACAAATTATTATTCATTCTTTTTCAAACAGGTACAAAAACTCTCTTAATTTTCCGAACTTTCGTTTTGTAATCGCTTACTAAAAGAGTTTGTAGTTTTCTGGTTTTAATTCCTTGTGCTGAGTTCTGTGAATAGATTACTGATCTGATCTTAGTTTAGGGTTATAAAAAGTTTGGTTTAAATTTGTAAAAATTAAATCTAGTTTTGTTGTAAAATCTATCAAAGTGTTTTTAGAATATGAGCACCTAGCAACGATTCGATAAAGAAATTGAGTGAAAGATGCAAAACAAGATATATTGAGTCATAACAATTTGACAAAATTGACAAGAGGGTACATTGACAATTAACCTCTCCCGACTGTTTTTTTCCTTCCTATATAAAAAAAAGCTTCTTTTCACAAAATCACTAAATTTAATTTATACAACCCGAAATGTAATATAATAATAATAATAGCAAAAGATCATTCGGAATCCTTCCAAAGAGTTGCGTCAATTCTCATGTGTATTGCCCATGCTTCCACTCTCATCTTTTTATCCATAGTTAATGCATGCCATCACAACTCATTGCTCCAATGTCCCAAACTTTTTTAGAGAAAAAGGGAAAGCCTAAAACAAGGTGCGATAGATCTTATCCACATGTCATATCATTATCATATACATCCATTTGTTGTTTAAATTTGTCGATCGATGTTAGCTATTTGGAAACCTAGGGATGGTCTCTATGCAACTCTTTGTCTTGTTTACCAACCACTCATGATCTTCAGCTTGAACTTTCTTTACACAAACTGGTAATACTGAAGATTTTAAAGTGTCTGAATCCATACAGTCGATCGATTTATTTGGTAGATTCACTTGTACTGAGAATACAGAATAAACTGGTCGATGATCTGAGAATTTGGATTCTCCCCTAACATATGACTTCTGTTTTAGTCCTTCTCCCTTCCATAAAATACGATCACACCTATCATATTATCACATCCACAAACATGGATCAATAACTCTATCAAAATCACAAAGAAGTCAACAAATTAGGTTCAGTATGATAAAAAAAAGTCAACTATTAACGTGTAATGATGGGGAATTTGAGCCAATGGTTTTGGGTTTCTATAACAGAAATAATATTTTGAGATAACAGAGTTGACCGAATCAGAATACAGAATACCCATAAAGTCTACATGTAGTTGCCATTAATTTCAACCCGCATGCATTAAAAAAATTATTTTTTATTTTATTTTATTTTATCATGAAGTAAACACATTAAATAAATAGATATTCAAGATCTTACCATGCAGGTGTACGTCTTTTTTCTTTAGTAGTAGGAGTTTGGGCCACGTAACGATCAGAGTTTGTAATGTATTTATACGTGGGAGCAAAATATATCTTCCCCTCTTTCCATCCCTCAAAAATACGTCCAGCCTTTTGCTCTAATCCCAACTGTAAATCAAAAATTATATTAATAAATATATATATTCATAACTTTTAATCTTTCGCAATATTGAATATATATTTTTTCTTTGCAGATGTATATTCACCTGATCTTTTTCTAGAAGCGCTTGCCAATCATTTCTTTGTAGTAATTCATGAATGTCATCGGAGGTCGATGACAAACGATAATTTAAATCCCCAAGCCATATTATCTTTCTACACGTCAAACCAAAGATGCATATAATATAATTAGAAGATATATATACAAATAAATGAATTAAGAAAAAGAAAAAAAGAAATCTTACTCGTGACCCAAAATATTATCAGGAGGAATTGGTCTTCCAAGTGTTCTAAATGAACGAGAAAATCTTGTCTTTTTTAAGATCTCCATCACGTCTGAATTTCTTTTGAATTCATCACCTTCTTTTTCTCCAGATGCCAAATGAGTACAAACGAAGCAAAATGTGGTACGATGTAATGTCATACTAACAGAAATAGATCCCTGAAAGGAAATAATAATGAGATATAATCAGACCCAAAAAAAAGTTGAAAACAATTAAAATGTATTCAAATTTTTGTAACTTATTTTACCTTGTTTCCTAGATACCCCATAATGCCTCTTCCAACACAAGATATCTTCAAATTGGTAACGTGATGACTCAAATCTTTGCGGATAAATACACAAAGAAAGATCCCGACCATTTGCTTACTTGCAACCAAACAGAATCCTGGATTCCATTTGGAGTTGGAATCATCAATTCCGGTTGATGAATTTGTGTTGAACAAGTGTTGGAATTCTTGTTCATCTTCAAGAGACAGAAGATCAGAGAAGCTAGGTCTGGACTTGAGAGTTGAGTCAACGGCGGTGGTAGGACTGTAATTATGCGGAAGTCCAGGGGTAGTATTCAAGGCTTCGTGAATGAGTGATAGCCACCTGGCAGCTGGGCTTTTGTTCTCGGTGCCCAGTACGTTTCCTGCGTTTAGGGGTACGATCTCTTGAAACCTGGAAATGAAGAGGGTAAAAAGGTAAATTAACAGTTAAGAGCATCTTATCTTTTATACAATAGTTAATACTTAATAGTTTACGAATTTGTTTAAAATTAAATAATGGAAAAAATAAAATAATATGAATTATTACCCAATAACATAAATATCCGCAGGGGATGAAGTTGTAAGCCAATCCCTCACATCCAAACCTTTATGTGGGCAATTTCCTCCTACGTTCCATGTCCCAACAAACATACTATAAAAACAAAACATAAATCTTATTAAACAAAATTAATATCTAAATTTATATTAGTAATTATTACCACTTTTATTTTCAAATAAATTTAACAATTTCTTTATGGTAGAAAGATTTGATATTAAAAGATTTTGTTAAGCTTAATTCGGTTTTGAATTGTAAAAGTAAAACAATTTTGCTTTTGCTAATAATATACCTGAGATCCGATTTCTCTGGTTTCGATTCCTCGTTTGTCAACCATACCTCTGTCATAAAATAAAACAATTATTATAAAACAATTATTAGGCTTGAATCATAAATTCAAACAAACTATCAAAACTTATAATAGTTTTTTTTTTATTTATATAAATTTCATGTAGTGATAGTTAGTTAAATCACGAAAAAAAATGGTAGCTAAACCAAACTGTGGAATTTAGCCTATTTTGAACTATATATTTTATTAATAAAATGAAAATCTAGTAAGAGATTTTCGGAAATTCCTTTTTAAACTTTCCAAAAAGTCCAATCAAATAAAGAGGGCGTTCGATTAGATAGTTCTGAAGAGTGATAGGCTATTGCAGTCTTGCCTGGATCGGACGGCTAAAAAGGCTGAAGGACTACGGAAGTTATCTATAGCGCCGTCACACATAAATAAAGGAAATCATTTAAAGTGGTTGTACCTGATAACTCCTCTGGTACGACGGCGTATCGACCATCATCGGAACAACTCTTCCTTCTCTCGCTCCTATCTGGTGCAACTGATACCATAAATAAAATTTTAAATAAAATATATATTCACAGGCTCACAGCTCATTTCCCATAATTACAAGAAATATTATTTAAAAACTGTAAATCAAATCATACCATTTACAGAATGAAAATCATCTGTTCCTTTCTTTAAATTCAACCATCTTCTCACGTTCATTTTTGGCCATGATCCATGCTGCTGTAAAAACATAGTATTTCCATTTTCATTTTCATCTAATTATGACAAATTCTCCTTTTTAATCTAAAAATAAAATACAAAAGTAATAAAACATATATATATATATATATACATACCTTCGTATGTCGAAGGCTTTCTGTTTTCATTTCTACGCCGTTATTGCAACGTGGAGATTATGCGTTTGACCTACAAGATCGAAAGAGAAACGAAGTTCGATCATGAAAGAAGTGAGAAAACTTGATTTATGAAGGCAAAAGGATGACACTGAATGACAGAATTGTGGCTGATATTTTGTTACCAAATTATTATTTTTAATAGATATGTTAAAATATTCAACCAGTGAAATGAAATTAAAAACACCCAGTTGCAGGAGAAATGGAGACAGGATGTATGGCAATACATATTCCAATATACATATTAAATATACAATATTGTAGAGTAATGTTCAAGCGATTATGTATTTACTGAAACTTATTAAGTATTTTAATTGAAGGAAGAAATTTATATAATAGATTTACAGAGAACAGTCAGATGGTTACTTTCTCTTGAAGATAATGAAAAAATATGAAAACCTTTTTGGAAGACGACTTTACAGAAGGAGGAACAAACACTCGGAATATTTTTTACAAGATTTTGAGATCTATCAAGCTTCCAGATGATCAAATCAATAAAGTTTTCATAAACCCAAACACAAAGTTCAAATCTTTTTAGTTTATTAATCACAAAGTTGCCAAATTATTAGTAAAAACTGAATCCTTTTTATGATCGATCATACATATCAAGAGAATGTTACGATTATCATCTTATAATCTTGAAGAAAAAGGTTCGTTTTTTGATGTTATGATTGTATAAACTAGAAAGACGAAAACAGAGTATGGTTTTTGTAGAATGTGAATAGTGTTTGAATCCACTTAATATGATTGATTGAGATTTGAGATGAATGAAGACTTACATGAAATGTTGTAGAGAATTGAAGCAGAAAGTTTGATTCTTTCCCGTTTTGACCCTGTCGTCTCTTCTTTTTGATGTGTGTAAAATCGTTGATTATTGATTCTTGAGCGTGGATTGGTATATATGTTTGTGGGCGTTCTCCTCGTAAAAGAAAAAAGGGCAGTTGCTTCCTTATATATTTAGATTTTAGAGAGATGGGGGAGAGGAGGTGGGGTATGGAGCAGGTGTATAATCGTCATTTTGATTAAATATTCAAAACCCAATATGCATATGAGAACATGGTGGTTTTTTGTGTAATAAAGGTTGTACCTTGGAAGTGGGATGCGAGTGGGGGATGTGGGATATGAAACAGGGGTGTAATGGTAATTTAGTTGATTAGTCGATAACAAAAGTTGTGCTTTCTGCTTCCTTCTGCGGTAAAAAGGATATGTACTCTGTGCAACAAAAAATTGTACACTGGTGTATGGTCATATACATAGAAGAGTGGTGGGGGTATAATGGCCAATTTGATTGATTGGTCTATAACTAAAGTTACTGAATCGTGTGTACTCTCTGCTAAAATAGATTGTACATTTGAATTGAGCACGGTTAGATGGAAGGGAGGTGGGGTACGTGGCAGGGGGTATAACAGTCATTTTGTTTGGTTAGCCTTTAAAAATGTTAACACGCTCTCTGACTCCTCATTTGTAATTTTGTGGAAAAAACAACATAATAGTTAACAAACAAAATGTTTGTCCTTGATGACATAAAATGATAAAATCAAACAATAAGAATAATAAAATGGTTTCTTTGTGTATAATTTGTGGGACATAAAATTACACATTTGGTTTATAGTTTATAAATAAAAAGAGGAGAGGGAGAGTGGGGGTCGTGGGGTAGTGTGGCAGGGTTATGAAAGTCATTTTCGATTGTTTGAAATTAGAATATGTAACTGAATATTTTGTTATCTAATTTCGTAATATATATATGGTCATCTTGCTTACTTGGACTTTATTACAAAACTCCCCTTGTGGACTTGACTTTAAAAACGTTCAATAGTCTTTATGAAATACAGATGTTTTTGTCCATGTATTTCTTAGGTAAGATGGTGCATTTTGTTCTCAAATGGATCTCTGCTTACTTGTACAAGATTTATTGTTTGATTCATAGCCTCTAAAATACACAACCTAGGTCGTAACATTCACGAAATTTCCAATAAGAATTGGTTGTTATGCGTTTTTTTGGGTGATGACAATCGGTTTCTAGAAGGTGAAAAATAATAAATGGATTTAAGTTGGATAGTTTGTAATTTTAAAAAGTATGTTGCTATTTTGGTTACGGGACTAAACTTTAATATTTGATGGCCGGGATTTTTATGCTCATTATGGCCTAAGTTGAGGGACATTTTATGTAAACATTGTGATAAATACAAACAAATAGAAATTATGGGACTAAACTATAGTTTTGGGGTTTTACATAGACGAACCCATATTTGTTAGAGCCTAGAGGCCCATGGTTAATTTTAACACCTGCAAAATAAGTTTAGACATTTCGACTTTTTTATTTTTTTATTTTTTTATTCTTTTAATTACCCATTTTAATTATTATTAATGAAATTAAAATGATAACTGGTTATCAAGGGTGTTAAGTGTATAAATACACAGCTACGGATGTAGGAAGTGTAGTAGTAAATGTACACATAAGCGTAAACTCAAAATCATTAAAATATGTTCCTATTATTTAATTATCTGGTTTGTAAATTGTTTTTAAAGAAATTTGATTCTAACAAAGAAATTGCAATTTACCGGATTTGAATTTTAACGGAATTGAAATTATATCGTGTGTTTGGTTCAAACAAGTGAGATGGAATTCAGTTCGTGGAATTTAATCAATTTGATGTAAATCACAAACTTGTCCTTTATTAACTCCTTATTTAAAATTTTTAAGGGTAAATAGCATAAAAAACACTCCGTTTACACCAAAATTCTAATTTGACACCGTGTTTTTTTTTGTCTCAAATTTGACACTGTGTTTTCCAATTTGTTACAATTCTGACCACTTGACCGGTTAACCAGGTTACATGCTGACGTGGCATGATGACGTGTCAGTTTTGATGATGTGGCATGCTGACATGATATGCTGACGTGTCAAAATTGAATTTTTTTTCCACAAAAAACACTAAGTTTTCATTTTTTTCGATTTTGACACTAAGTTTAATTTTTTCTTTCAATTTTGACACTATGTTTTTTTGTTCCAAATCGAACATCATTTATCAATTTTTGTTCAATTTTGACCATTTTCCATTTGAATTAAAAGCCATAGTTTTGTATAAAAACAAGGTTTTTTTTTTTTTTTTTTTTTTTTTACATTTAAACCATAATTTTATGTATAAATATGTATTAGTTATATAAAAACCGTATTTTATATTAAATACGCAACTTTAAAATGAGTTTGTAGGTTTGGAGGCGTATACTCGATTAAAACTCGGATGTCAAGTTTGCAACCCCTGAAATTTTCACATCTTATTAGAAGCTTATGGTTAGTTTGATTCTCATGATATAACTAATGCATATTTATACATTATACTTTGAATGTAAAAAAAAAAAAAAAAAAAAAAAAAAAAAAAAACACCTTGTATTTAAATAAAAATGTGGTTTTTAAACAAAAAAAATATATTTATACGGTTTAAAATGTAATAAAAAAATATATTTATACTGTTTCAAATGGAAAATGGTCAAAATTGAACAAAATTGGAAAAAATGATGTTCGATTTGGAACAAAAAAACATAGTGTCAAAATTGAAAAAAAATTTAAACTTAGTGTCAAAATCGAAAAAAAGTGAAAACTTAGTGTTTTTTGTGGAAAAAAAATTCAATTTTGACACGTTAGCATATCATGTCAGCATGCCACATCATCAAAACTGACACGTCATCATGTCACGTCAGCATGTAACCTGGTTAACCGGTCAAGTGGTCAGAATTGTAACAAATTGGAAAACACAGTGTCAAATTTGAAACAAAAAAAACACGGTGTCAAATTAGAATTTTAGTGTAAACGGAGTGTTTTTTATGCTATTTACCCAATTTTTAATACTTTCAATACAAAATTTCAGTTTTAAACTTTTATTATTAGTTCATTGTTTACTATCTTTTTAGAAACCACTTCTCAATACAAAATAGATTATAATTTTTTTTTAGGGTAATGGTGACTTCTCAAAGAAACAAAGAATTTGAGCTTGACAATTGGGAATTGAAGACCAATCAGATCAAGAAACATGATCAAAAGGTCAAATATAATATTACATTTTATTTTCAGAGAGACAAAATCAAAAGATCCAAATTGAGAAATGAAGAACACATGTTAGTAAGCAATATCAAAATATCAAATCCCATATTGTATTTTATTTTTCACCAAAACCAAAACCAAGCATTGAAAGTTGAAATTTAAGAATTATGAAACACCCAGGTGGGGTCGTGTCGTGAGAGCTAGAAAGGCATAGGTGTTACAGGTGGGGCTGAGAGAGTAACTAATGAAAAATATGATATGTAGATTATTGACGTGTTTGGTACGGAACGTTTGAGAGCTTCTAGCTTCTAGCGTTTGACAAAACGTTCCGTTTTGAACACAAAGTTCCGTTCGGCACTACAAGATTCTAGCATTTAGTTTAAACAAAACCCCACAAATCCAAATGCTACTTCATGTAGTGTTTAACAAAACGGTACAAACTATCCACTACCAGTTAATTTTGCCGAACACGCCCTATATAAGTAATAAGACAGTAAATAAAAGTATGAAATTGATTTCCAAGGTTTTAAAAAGCCTTAGTTTGAGGTATTTTTATTGGATTTCACTAGAATTTAATTCTTTATTTTTTGAAACAAAACACTGAAATTTTTAAGAATTCAATTCTAATTCTTATGGAATCTTATAAAATACCACAAACCAAACGTCCCATTTTCTTAAAATGACCAAACTTGTGGTTTAAGCCTCATCTTCTCCATTTAGTAGAGAAAAACAAAATTGGGGCTTAAAGAAGACGAATAAGGTTATTTCTTGTGGTAGAGGATGAATTAGACGAGAGTTCAAAGAATAGATGAAAATTAGAAGCTAGAATCATCTTTTTGAGTATTTAGAATGTACAATTTTTATTTCTCCTTCTTCTAAGTTGGATTTAGGGTTTAGGATTTCCCCAAATCCAAAATTGTTGCTTGATTATAAAGTTTAAGTCGATTTTCCACTTTTTTATTTGTTTGTTTATAAAGTGAAATCACTCACTTATGATTTGATTTTGAGTTTAGATGATATTTTAGAACTTCAAAGCTATAACAATGGTGGAATATGAGTTTTGAACATTCTCTCATGAATGGATGTTAGTTCTAACCATATATAGAAACTATATTTAAACTAAAGAATCCACCATTTGTTTATAATTTCAAAATTATCAAATGAAAATTTTTAAGCCAAGTTTTAGGGTTATGATTTTGACTTAATATAGATTTGGACTTGTGTGAATTTCATTTAATGTTGTCAACCAAACTCGAATATGAGTTTTGAGCATGAGATGTTAGTTCTGTTGGATTAGGTGTGTAAGCTCATAACTATAATTGGTATGTACTTGATTTGATAGTAGCATGATCCTTTTGGGTTGCCTTCACACTGGTGACTAGATATGATAACTGTTGAGGGGAGATGCTGATTTATTATTAAGAATAATAAATTGGCGCATAAATATGATTTATTAATATATTATAAGAATAATATATTAATTAGAAGTTATATTATTAATTAGTATTTAATTAAAAATTAATTTTGAATTAATTTTGGGATTAAAGGAACTGATTAAAAGTGTAGGGGTTGTTTTGTAATTATTTGATAGTTGAGGCTTTGGGTCATTGGACCACCTTATTAAGGAACGGCCGAAAATCCCTAGAAGGATCTAGGAATTTTCGTCCAAGGCTAAAGGGTAGGAGGTCGATGGACTTGCTTAGGCCCTAAGCTAAGGAATTAGGGTTTCCACCCTAAAACCCTAGATAGCCTCAAGTATAAATAAGACCCTTAGGCTCTAGAATTCGTGCACCCTTTGGAAGAACCCTAGAAGAGCCTATTCTAGAGCAAGCCATCCTCTCTCCTTTCTCTCATATTTATCCTTTCACCTAGTGTGTTTGTGAGCCATTAGAGGTACTACAATTGTGGTACTTGTTCTCAAGAGCAAAGGAAATTCAAGAAACTAGTTGTTATTACTATATAACAACAAATGTATGTATTCTAATCTTTTATTTGAGTATTTCGAAATTTTAGATGCATGTTAAGGTTTTCTTTTGTGTTTATTTGTTGTATGTCTAATAGAGAAAACATAGAAAAAAAATTAGGGTTGCATGTACGCATAAGATTGTTTGTATAAAACCCATCAGTGATATCAGAGCTATTGGTTGTTGTTTTCAATTAGATTTGATACGATAGTTTGAATTTGACAAATTAGGGTTTATGGCAAATAAACCCTAGGTTTTGGATTTTCGAAAATTAGGGTTCCAAAATCCTAGATTTCGAAATTTGTTAGGGTTTCTTGAACCCTTTTTCCTTTGGCATCAAGTTTTCGATTTTAGGGTTGTCTAACCCTAGATTTCGAAAATGCCTTCCTTCCCAAGATTAGATTTCG